ACCTGTAGATTCATTATTATCAGTTAAAGAAACAAAACCTTGTACTGAACAACGATCAGGTTTTTTAAATGGATTCTAAGAAAAATATTTAACAAAACACGAAGTCATTTATCAATACAAAACAAAATTATATATTTACTTGATCACAATGATACCAACCACTATCAGTTTTCCATTTTTTATTGAAATGCCAATTACGAAAACAACCAGCTCCATCAAAAGATGTAAATAATTCATTGGAATTCCATATATGAGAAAAAACTTTTTTTATATTTGGAATACCACGTAAATACCACATAAATTCTGATTGACCAATACCATGATCATTCAATAAACCAATATTAGTTGATCCAGGCCTATTTGTTTTTATTCTTTTAATATTTTTAGATTTATAATTTGACAAATTAACTTACCAATTTATATCCCATGCTTCAGGATTATTACGTCGAATATAACATGGTCGTTTTAGGCTTTCTAAATGTTTCCATAATAAATCGACGCTATTATTTATTTCATCATCCGTAAGAATATTACTGAATACAGCATAACCATATTCAGTTAAATAATCAACACCTTGCTGAAGTTCTTCGGCATCTTGAACTGAAAATCGTGGGGGAATCACTTCATAATTCACATCGACTTCTGATATTTTCTTGGCTTTTGATGCATACATTTCACTAAATGATATTGATGAAGTAACATTTGATGTGTTGTATATAAATATTTGACTATTGTTAGCAACCGGTACTTTTGAAATAGATAAGAAAATGATGAAATAACAAAAAAAGACATAAACATGACGACATATGTAATTAAGTAATAATAAAAAAACGGTTTAGATTATTTCTTATATCTTAATTTATTAAAAAGTTAATTTATATTGATAATATAATATATATTCAATATTTAAACATATGTCTATAATAAACTCTAATCAGTTAGCGACATCTTATTTTATTGTATTAACAGAAAGGCAAACTTACATAACCAATGGAAAATCTACTCTATTAGTTTTTCTCTTCTCTCAATAATTTTTGTTATTGTCTTCGTAACGTAAAACCATCTGGTCTGGTTCATTCTAAATGGCTGCTATTGCTAATCGTGTTACAGCGCTTGTTCCTAAACTTGCTCTCCGTAAGTTGTTTTTATCTATAAATATGATCTAATTTTCGAAATTATTTAATTTAATTAACAGCTGTAGCACGTTATGGACAATCGAAGTTGTCTCGTTTCTGGTACTTTGCTCGTGTTGAATTACGACCACCAATGCCAAGTGAATTCGGACAAGTTCAACAAGGATTACAACAAATCGTTAAATCAGCTTCAACAGGTGCATGGCGCAAATTAACTGTTAAAGTAATTCTATTATTTTGCTCTATTTTATAATCTTTTCTTTTTTATTACAAATATAGCAATTTGGATTAAATACATTAGTTGGCCTTGAAGTTATGTTCTGGTTTTATATTGGTGAATGTATTGGCCGTGGTAGTATCATTGGTTATCGACCAGGCCGTAGTGAAGGCATCCCAGCACCTTATAAATACTTTATGTGATCCGTATTTTTTTCTTTCTCTATAGAACAGTGTCCATCCTTTATATTTGTTTATCTCTTGTCATCCGTTTCATTTTCTTTTTCTAAAATAAAAAACCAAAACATAGGTGTATGAATTAAATAACTTATGTATTTTTTAGATAAGCAATGAGTGCTGACGATATGAATGAAACGTTTATGATTCGATCATCGACACCTGAAGCGGTAAGTGATGATAATGACATAACAATCGAGAAAGTTCAAACAAAATTAACACAAGTTCAATTAAAAACAACATTAAGTGATGAACCCAGTCAACATAATCAAACACAACGACATCAAACACCACCTATGGAACTTATTAGTTTACCAAAAACTCAGGATAATATTGTGGTAAATTATTCTATTTTTTTTCTCTATTTTGATTCTAAAATTTGAGGTATTCTTTAGTTTCCAAATGTTATTGATCTTAATGTTGGAGGTTGTCGTTATACAACAAGTTTATCAACATTAAGAAAATATGAAGATTCATTATTGGCAGTTATGTTTAGTGGAAGATATGATCTTATAAAAGATGAACATGGGAATATTTTTATTGATCGTGATGGAACTCATTTTGGGTAAGATATTTATAATCATATATTCCTATTGTTGTTTTTTTATTAAAAAGTCAAGAACATATGTAAAGTTTATTAGATTTGCTTTTGAGCTTATGATGATTTGCTAATTCACTAATCTCTGAAGATAGAATCCCGATTTTTATAGAAAGAATAAATTAACAGACAACAACAGAAGATACCGACAACTCTGTTTAGTGTAAAAATACATCGGTAAACCTTAGAAATGAGTAATTATATAAAAAAATATATTATATTAACGATTTCGATATTATTCTAAAAATGTTATTTTTTCACTAATGAAGTATGCATGTTCTCATTAATAAAACAATATACCATATCTAATGAATAAAAAGTGGAAAACGAGAATAATGTATCCTATTTATATATATTTTAAAAATAGCGGAAGTGTTTATTCCATGATGATCACTATAACATTGAAAGGCAGATCCTAATTTTAAAAAAACTTTTTTTTCGTTAATATTTAGTCATATTTTAAATTATATCCGTTGTGATCAAATGCCACCAGAATCGATTGCATTGAATGTTTTACGTGAAGCTGAACTTTTTTGTATTAATTCATTAATTGGTAAATTAGAAAGTTCAAGTCCACGTGTTATATCATTACGTCGACGAGAATCATTTCGTCGTCTTATACCTGATTATGAACACATGAAAAAGGATATTATAAATCGATCAGCTGAAAAACGTTCTTCATTCCATGAATCACGTGTTGTTATAACACAACTTGATCATTCGAAATTAAAAGGCACAATACCGTGTTATAATTGTAGTCGTGAATTTGTTACGGTTAATCATGGTATATTTGATATTTGAATTTTGTTATGTATTATTAATTTTTTGTATATTTAGCTTGTGCTTTCGATGGTCTTACAGCTGATTTAGAAATTCAACAACAACTTAAACCTATTCAAACAGATATACATATTGATATGGATAAACTTGTTGCGTAAGAAGAATTTTTATAAAATTGAAATAAAAAAGTCAGAATATTTTCTTTAGATTTGTTGTTGATGAACTTGTTCATGATGGTTTTAAAGCTTCAGTTGAACGTATAACATGTCGTTTTAGTGTTCGTTGTCAAAGTTGTACTCTTAGTGGTTTATATACAGCAGGTGGAATTTTAGCACCAAGAGAATGTCAGAATGTTGCTCATGTCATCAAATTTATCTGGTCATAAACTTCTTTTAATCTCATCTATTTTTTTTCCGATTTTCTTGTCTTTTATCAAATAATGAATTGTCTTTTACATGCTTTATTCTAGTCAACATCATATGCCTTTATTTTTTTATTATCTGCCGATCTATATTTTGTTTTTTCGAGAATGCATTGTAATTATTTTTGCTTATTAAAAAAGAATATGACATATTTGTATGCTTAAAGTAATTGCTAAATAATAATTATTGGCTTTTCAGTTATAAATAGATAAATTAATTTACTGAGATACTGTTTTTTTAAGACTTAATTAAAACGAATTTTTATACTCACGAGTGACTGATTTTGAACATTTACCGTCGTCTTCTGAATTTAAATAAGTTGTAAAACGATTAAGATAATGTCAGAAATATTAAGACTGTAAATATGATATATAGGATGTTGAAAAGATCAACTTCAATGCAGAAGGATGAGTGTCTACTCTTTCTATTCACACCCACACCCTCAATATGGGTATGAGGTTTATCCTTATCCATATTCACAATCTCACTATGTTTTAAACATCATTTTGTATTTGAATATGATTTTGTTGGGTTTTAATCTCAAATATTGATATTTGTTTAAAAACATGTATTTTTGAATTCTGTATATAATAGTTTGTTCTGATATTTTATGATTAGTTTTAGTAAATGTGAAGTGAAGATAAATTAACAAATTATGACTTTTGATCTTACTGAAAACAGAAATATCGAGCATGTTTATATTTATCTTTGTTTGAATAAATTCAAATCACTTCATTTCTTCTTAAAGGAAAATTTTGAGAGCATTCTTTTTTGCAACTTCTACAGCTGTACTTTTATCTAATTTTAAATTCATGAGAATAAAATTAACAGAATTTTTTTTTATTAGTACTTTGGAAAATCTAATGGATTTTTTTGAAATAATCAAACTCTTCTTTCTCATTCATACAAAACTAAACATTAAATAATTCCTTTGACAAAGTTTTTTTACATTTCATATAAGGCGAAATAATAATCTTTTATACGTCTTTCCTTTTAGCTATTTAGAATCTGCCAGAGTGTTAAAAGAATTGTTTCTATAGTTGATCCAAGATATTTGTCAACAAAACTGAACATTGGATAACAGATCTGTGTAGAGGTATCTGAAAAATATCTCTAGATAATAGTCAGATTTATATCAATATATAAAAATTGAACTTTATCTAAATATTTATTAACAACATCTCTCAGTAATACGTTCATTTAAATAAATATTTTGACTGATTTTATTTTTTAATCAAAAAAATAAGAAAAAAAAGAATAAATCATATAGTTTAATTCTTTACGCTTCGTTGTGTGATTAGAATAAATATTAATACATTTTTAATAGAAAAACATATTTACACAAATATAATGAATACTATCTCGATAGTAAAGTTATAAAATAGGCAAAAACTATTATTTATGAGTATATAATATTCCCCTTGCTAACGCATAAAAAAACACGTACATGCGATATTTATTATAAAGTTAGAAAATGACTAAGAAGAAGTTTAATAATGAACAAGAAAAAAGAAAATATAGAATTGTTTAGGTGCCTGACTTCTGTATGGTATAACTATTTTATTCATCGGAACCGAAAAATAGAAGCAAAGTTTTCTCAAAGTAACACAACAAATGGCTTTTGAAAGTCCAAAAACAGCATTCATTGCATGCGGACTATTGGTTATAGTATCTGGGTTATATATCACGGCAAATGCTTTACCTATGTGGTTTGTTAACTTTTCTTTCGATTCTCTCTATTAAGATACCTAATACAAAGCAAAAGAGTAGATACTCCAATCTATCATATAATATATTTCAATTACAATCGAGTAAAGGAATACTTGTGAGAAATAATTTCTAGGTC